AACTCTGTACAAAAAAAAGTGAAAACAACTGGCTGTGTCAGGTAAAGGAAGTATTCTTTTCAGACGAGTAAGATACCTGTTTTACAAAATCTTATTTTGTTATCCAGGACACTGTAATTACGATGTAATTACGAAGGTCTAAATTCAAAATACTTTTGAACTTGTCTATGTAATCTCAGTGTAAAATAAGGTACCAGTCTAAGAGCATTGCTGTAGCTTTGCCTAACAGTTATGAATTGTATTTAGCCATTGCTTTTTGAATGTTTATTGTTTTGCTATGACTTTCTTTTAATATTTTGCTGTGCCAGCATTTGTGAATGCCAGCGTTGGACAGTAACTGCTGTCATACATTTGTGAGTAAAATCAATCTATAATTTTCTCTTGATAGTGATGCAGGCTTCTTACCAAATAAGACAAAATTGCCGTGGGCATACAGTTAGTTCTTAGTGTTTCACTGCTATTTGGGCTCCATGTTACACCAGGTTCATGTAAGAGGTTCAAGAGGTTCATGTGTCGCTAGTCTCCTTCCTGGCTATGAAAGCATCAGGGAGAAGAGTGAACATGGGTGGACAAAACCATGTGTGGCTGCAATGTGCCAGTGCATGGCAACCTCCAGCCATCTTTTCTGAGGCCCTGAGCTGAGTGTTCTCAGCTAATTTTCAAGCAACTTTTATACCTCTCCAAATCAACGCATGAAGACTGGCTGGGCAAAGAGCAGCAGAGAATCTAGAGACTGCATTTTCAGGCAACTTCAGAGATACCTGCTATGAATTGCACTTTTTTTGCAATTTAGATGCTTTACAGAATCCAGCCTGTCATTTTCAACCTTGCACTTTTTTTCTGGCTTACATATTGTCAGTGTATGCCCTGTTTTCTAGTGCATCAGGTACTTTGTCATTGCATAAGGAATTGTGATTCTGATCTCTCACTCAGTAATGAACCTTTTGAGGTACAAATATCTGTCAGAGCTTGATAAGGGCAACACAGATAATAATGTCCAGCTGCATTGACTTCAGAGGCTCTGTGTATGGGTATCTGGCTATGAGATTCACATCTCTTTGATCTCTTAAATCAGATCTATATATAATATATCCCCATTTCCTTTTGTTACCAAGACTGCAATGTGTATCATAATTTTAAATTTGACTCTCTAATCCTGTATGTGTCTTCTCAATATTGTCCTAATCGATGTTGTGCGCAGACTTCATTTTAATGTAAGATGAGCCTTTTTGCCCAGATTCACTGAGCCATTCTTACTCAGTATTGCACATGATTAGGTTTAGGCAAGTTCAAGCGAAAGGAGCTGAAACACACATTAAAGTAAGATACTGAGTAGGACAAAAATCCAGAAGGTCCCTGTGTTCCTGAATTGGACTCTTCACATTAAACAGATTTTAAGGTTTAGCTGTAATTACAGTCAAAATTTCATAACTAGCATGGTGTCAAGGGGATTACAGCCTTGTATTGAAAATTGATAAAGAGTCTACCCATTTTTTAAGTGGGAATTAACTGATATACGTGCTTTACTCGTGTCTCTGCACATGGGTAAATTTAGGTCTGTAGAAATAGGAGACATTCCCTAAAATGTATCCTGCACATTGAGCATCACAGTATCATAAGTGCTTCATGTTACAACTAGCCAAAAGCACAAGACATTTATTTTCATTTATAGCATTTCACTACTCACAGTGCTTCTTGTAATGACATACGGCATGTGTGTTAATGAAAAGTGAAACATCTTACAGTCAGTGTCATTATAGCTGTGACATGCATTAGTCAAAAAGTACATGATAATGTCTTCTTCCCATTGCTTCAGAAGTCCAGAATTATTCCCAATACTGAATTCTCTTCTGGCTTCCCCTGCCACTCTCTAAATAACTACATTTGAATTGTATTAAATATTAAGCTACAAAAAAATAAATACAGGCCAGGAGATTGTAATAAATAGAGAGATAATAAACTCAGAAAACTATCCTGCATTTAAAATAGAGAATACTCCTAGGTAAGAAATCCCTCCTGGACTAAAACAATTTTTCAAGTCCCTCTCCGGATTCATCACCATCCCTTTCCACCTCCGTACAGCACAATATGAAACCTGCATGCAGGAGGCTGGTGCACTTAATTCAGGAAAATGAATTAAAACTATTGCTGCACAGTGATATTTCCAAGTATCTTGCTTAAAGTGGGCCTCCTTTTGCTGGTTATGAGGATGCATTCACATGTGCAATTGCTTAAGTTCTTATTCAGTAAATAGCCAGTTGCTGCAGCTTTCAGAAAAGGCTGCTGGACACAGACCGTGAAGCAGTATTTTTGTGTTGCTCCCATGTCATTGAGATCAAACTCCTTAAAATAGACTGGTTTAGACATTCCGTTTATTATCAACGCTACAATGATTTCCCCCCATGAAAATCATGTAATAACCTTTTGAGAGAAGGGCACATAAAAGAGAAGCCACTAATGCTTTCACGAGGTGCATAAAGTACTTCATTAAATACTCAGTAACAACCAGAGATTTTTTCATTTCTGTGCAGAAAGCATTAATACCACC